AGCTGCCTGATGCTGCCTGAGGAGCGAGTCAAGGGAGCCCTTCCTGCATTCATAGCAGGAAGTCACTGGTGACCTTGGCGAGGGCAGCTTCAGTGGAGTGAAGGGGGCAAGTCTGCATGAAGCCTGGTCAGAAGAGCGGGAGGAGAGGACGTGGAAACACCAGGTGTCGGCAGATTTTCCGGCAGTGTGTCTGACGGGTCCAGGGAAATGGGAATGTGGAGGGGGAGTTTTGTTTTTAAGATAGGAAATATCAATACCATGGTTTTGTGCTGACAGGAATGAAGTGTTAAAAGAAGAAAATTTGATAACAGGAGAGGGGACATTGTAGTTCTCCAGTTCTTTCAAAGTGAATGGGGCTGAGCAGGTGGTGGGATGGTGCTGGGAACAGTTGGTTCACGCCGTGACTCAGTGGTGCAGGAAAGGAGAGAAGGGTGGAGGCCAGGGGAGGGAGTCATTTGGTGGTGAGAGTTTTGAAAGTTCCCTTCTGAATATTTGCTTTTGCTCAGCAGAATAGGAAGCAAGGCTGTCTTTAACAAGCAGCAAGGAATGGTAGAGTTTCGAGGACAAAACTTATGGAATCATCCACCAGACTGGTGTCCTACTAATCATCACTGCAGTTGCCTTTTGTGAAAAATACTCAGGTTCCCTTGGGTAGATGGGGTCGTCATCACTGATGCTACCCTGTGTTTACTTCATGTTATACATTACACAACTCCCGTACTTGTCTCATTTTTTACAGAAGTTAACTACCTTACTTAAGGTTAAACAGTGAGTGATATAGTCACAACTGGAATTGGAATGTGTGACCCCAAAGGCAAGTAAGAGCTTCAAAACCTCCTGCAGAGCCCTGGCATTATTTCTCATGATAGATGAGGTACCTGGCATTTGCAGGGATGATCCAGAAGTCTGTTCCTCTTCCTGCTTTGTTACTAACAAAGTGATGTGTCGGTTAGCAGTGCTTTGGGCTACAAGTAGCAGAAGACTCAACCACAATGGCTGTTTTATATTTCTCATGTAACAGAACATCCAGAGGTGAGCATTTGTCATTGATTTCACTTGCCCAAGCAGAGTTGTTGGGCACGGGCTTGCCACAGCTTTCCACTTTGACATTTTTATGTGTTAGGCTTGGGTCCCAGACTGTTGTCTTGGTGTTGCAAGATGGCAGCTGCTGCTCCTGATGTCACCTTGCTTTCAAAGAAGGAAGATGGGGAAGGAGCTGTGGCTAAAGCACAAAGGAATATGTATGTCTGTTGTTTATCAGAGAAACTGTGTCTTTCTCAGAACTTCCACTTGGCACACTTCTGTTTCCTTCAATAAGTCAGAGCTGGGTCCTCTGGTCACCTCTGGCTGCAGAAGGAACGGGTCAGTACCTGCCTTCCTTGTCGGAGATTGAAGTAGTCTGTGGAGGAGGTGGGGATGTACAGGGGACAAGTGACTAGATTGTCTTGCCAGAAGAGAGGCCTTGGGTCATTTGCCATCTAGTGTTGAGTTCCCTCCAAGCAGAACTTTCACATGATCCTCCTTATGGGTCACTGCCTGTCCATGGCGACTTTGGGCCTGTATATCAATCTGTGTTCCAGTTATCAGGTCATGGGAGAGGTGGGGACAAGTAGCACCAAGTACGATAATCTTTGTGTAAGACCACTCTGCACATCCCTTGTCTTAGATGTCTCTCTAGTTCTTGGGAGGTTTCCAGTCAGTGAGGAAGAAGAGCAATGGAGGAGTCTTGGGAATAAGAAAAAGCATTTTTGATTTAAAAAAAAAATATATATATATATATAATATATATATATATATCTCAACTGCAAAGATTTCTGTGCATCAGAAGATCCCCTTAAAAGAGTGGAAAAAAGTCAACCTGGAGAAGGTATTTGCAAAGCATTAACTGACAAAGTGTTGGTATCCATAAGGTAGATTGATATGTAAATTTTAAAATGTCAATGAGGCTGTTCACAGAAGACTTGAAAGTTTGCACAACTTAAGGAAAAGGAAGATAAAACATCCCTTCAGACTGACAAATATTTTGGAAAATTGGCTGAAGGACCTGTGGCAGTGGAGTGAGCGTGAGAGCACTGTGGCCGGGTGCCTACTGGTTCATCCCCATGGACCAGACAGAAAAATCGAGTAATGATGAAACCCTCAGCTGTGACCCTGCATATCCCCAGGAGGTCAAGTCCTGGAGAGCTCTTACACTTGTGTTTGGGAGACAGTATGGGGACGATGATTACAGCACAGTTGACAATATCGAAAACACTGCAAAGAGCCTCCGTGTTAATCAACACAAGAAGCCGTGAGACGGTGTCACAATCATGCCGTGAGATAAGCGCCATAGAGAACTGCAAGAAGAGTAGATGAGCCCCACTGTGAGGAATAAAATAGCTAATTGTAGAAAGATCCACAGAGTATACTATCATACAAGAAAGTTAAAATCACACAAAACAGTAATATCTTTTTAGTGAAAAAGAAAATGCATGGAAAGTGATTTTTTGGAAGCAGTTATTAGCTTTTAGGGGAGAGAGGGGGTGGGAGGGATGCAGCAGGGTGTGTGCTGGGATCTGATTTGTTAAACTTTATTTCTTGGGGCAGGTGGGGACTTCATTGTCATATTATTCTTTGTGTCTTTGGTGTGTCTGAATTGTATACTTTGGGTAGCTGTGTTTAACAGGGCAGGCAGAAGAGGAAAATTGAACCTTGAAGTACAGGCTTAGGAGGCAGGTGTGTGCCGACTTCAGTTGTCTGTGTATTAGAGCAGCACACAGCCTGCAGAGCGTCCAGAGTGTTGGCTTTCTAACTGGTCATTGCACCAGAGAACTCCGTCATCACTCCCTGCTCCTGCCGCCTCTCCCCTGCTCCGAATGCCCAGATGAGTGTTTGGATTGGATTTGTTTGTCTTTCTGACATTTTGCTGCAAACCCTACTGAGTTGAATCGGGTTATGAAAAGATAACAGATTATGAGTAAGTGATGCTGTGGGGCCAAGCTAGTCCCAGTTGGTCCTACCAGGCCTAGTGATTCAGAAGGGGCCTCCATTCTCTCTATTCTTGTCTCCTGAGGGCTTCAAGGCCCCATCCCCACCTCTGACTTTCTCTGGCCTGTTCTTCGAGCTCTTGTTTGTGGTGCTTTTGGTGATGGTTTTCAGTTCCTAGAGGGCAGAGGCCTGGAGGTTTCATCTGGCAGCTATCAGTTTGCAGAGTTCACACTTTCAAGGCTAGAGCCTTACTCTTTGTGACTGCCCTAGGGCAGAGCAAAGAAGGGGATGAGCCAGAACACATGGGTTACATAAGTGCTGTTTGGAAGTATACTGGCAGGGTACAATTTGGGGGATGAATTTTTACACAGTTTGGTATAGTTCAGTAATTTTCCAGGGCCAGGGCCAGGAAAAAGCTTGGGCTAGGTGGGAAGTTTCCCCCAGAGGGTTAGGATTCACCCCATTTTTCTTTGCATGAGAACAGTGTTTTGTTCCCAACAGGGACCTTGACAGGCTCCCTGTGGTGGAACAACCTGAAAGGTGAAGCAGAGAATTTTTGTCTTTTACTTGCTGTGGAAAGGCAGCAGCCATGACCAGGAGCCTGGGGTGAACTTGGTACAGAATCTTGCTCCTTTTATAGCTGGCTGTAAAAGGAGGAGAGCTGGCTTCCAGGCAAGCAGAGAAAGCTAATAAATCCAGTGTTCGCTTTGTTCCAGGCTATTTTGTTCTGCTTGGCCAACTTGGATGAACCAGTGGTACAATAAGGTTGACTATGTAATTGACCGACGTTGGCTGGGACAGCTGCCCCCCTATTGTGGCTGTTTTCCTTTGAGAAAACCATATTGCTGTGTACAGTGGTGCACGCCTGTAATCCTGTTTACTCTGGAGGCTGAGGCAGGAGGAGCACAAGTTTGAGGCCAGAGATAGCAAGACCCTGTCTCAAAATAAAGTTTAAAAAAAAAAAAAGGAGGAAGAGCTAAGGCTGTAGCTTGGTAGACGAGTGCCCTAGGTTCAGTTCCCCATATGGGGACGGGGGTGAGAAGAAAAAAGAAAACCATATTTAATTTATATCCTTTCACTAACCTACTGAGCTTAGAGCATCTGAAGTACCGTACTCTTGTGAATATAGTATAAATAGCATTTGATGGTGGCTTTGCTGCAGATCGTTCCCAGGCCTTTGTTTTTTCATTTTCCCTTGACTGTACTACTTGTCCCCTCAGTGAACTCTGCCATTTTAATATTCCTTTCTGCCACATCACCACTTACCATTGTCCCTATTTCTCCTTAAGCTGGATAAGTTTGAAAAAGATGAATTTTTGATTCTCTTATTTTGAGGCAGGGTCTCGCTAAGTTGCTGAGGCTGGCCTCAAACTTGTGACCCTCTTGCCTCGGCTTTCTGAGTAGCTTGGATTACAGGCATGTGCCACTGCACCTGGCAACTTAGGTGAATTTTATTTTCTATAATCTAGGTTAAGGGTAGCAAACAGATTTTAACTCCTTGCTATCTTTTCTGATCCTCCAATAATGGCTAACTGGAGTTGTGGATTGATAAGGATTTATAGGCAAATCTAAGCTCGGCAGGGAAGAGTGCTGATTGATGGCAGCGTCAGTGATAGGCACAGGGTTAGGGCTTGGGGCGTTTCCACAAAAATGCTAATAAAAATGTTAAATGTCAGGAAACCTCTTACTATGTCAGATTATGAATGAGAGTAATCTGTAAATGATTATATTCTAGGGGACTTCTATTTTCTTTTGATAAGGTTGTGTTTTCTGCATTTTTGACAGTGAACATGTATTAATGTAGTAAGCAGGGGGAAACACTATTATTTTGAAAAGAAATGTCTCACCTGAATGAAAACAGTGATTTGAATGTGCTGTGTTAGTACTTGATTCGGTAGTTGTAATATATCTAGAATGGGGCTAGAACTGCTCCTTTTCTTCCCTGTACTTGGACAAATCCCTGGACTCTGGCTGTCCTTCTTGCTGTAAGGGGGGCTGTGGGACTGGTTCATTTCTGATCTTCTAATTGTCAGGTCGAGGTGGTGCATCTATCTATGGCAAACAGTTTGAAGATGAACTTCATCCAGACTTGAAGTTCACTGGTAAGTGCATCATCTGGCTGAACTGGTTGGGGGGGGGGAAGATTTTGAAAGCTTGGTTCTTGGCTGTGATTCAAGGTAAATGCCTGACACTGTGGCATGGTGCCAGGCTGCTGCCCAGACATGGCGCCATAAAGAGTTCTGACAGATAAAACGGCGTCTCACAGCGTCCTCAGTGGTTCAGAGTCTTGGTTTAAGTGTTCTAGACTCTTAACTACTAGACCACTGTTGTAGACTAAAGGACATCTAAACTGAAGGTTTCCTCAGAGAAACACAAGACCTTGCTGGGTTTCTGAAGGCAATCAGTAACATGGGCCAGGGGTTAGCAGGGGTCATCAAGGGTCCAGGCTAGGACGTAGATGGGGATGGGGAGACAAGGCCATCAGAGTAGAGTGCAGTAACCAGCTTTGTGCGGGGCAGAGCACCAGCTTTGAGAGAGACGGGTCATCTAGGGCTGGACAGTAAGTGATGACAACCAGAACATTCTAGGGATGCTTCTTTGCATCCCTAGAATGGTGTAGCAGCTGGAGCCATGAGACTTTATTCATACTCTTTCCTCTCTTCCTTTTTCCCTCCAGGGGCTGGAATTCTTGCAATGGCCAATGCAGGGCCAGACACCAATGGCAGCCAGTTCTTTGTGACTCTTGCCCCCACCCAGTGGCTTGATGGCAAACACACCATTTTTGGCCGAGTGTGCCAAGGCATAGGAATGGTAAATCGAGTGGGAATGGTGGAAACAAACTCCCAGGACCGCCCTGTGGACGACGTGAAGATCATCAAGGCATACCCTTCTGGGTAGACTCGCTGCCTCGCAGGCAAAGCCAAGTCTTCTGCTGTGGCCCCATCAAACCAGCTTCCAGGTGACATGTAACTCAGCTTAATTTTGGCCTTGAATATATTGGCTCTAAGAAAGCCTGGGGCCTTGGGTGAGTTAGGATTGAAGTGTACTTTAATAGAATGCTTCTCTTTCTTCACCTAGTGCCTGGACTGACGGGGCATTCGGAGAAATGCCTCCATGTTTATTTACAGGTTTCTGCCCCCTGTGGATGACCCATACTTCTCCTTGCTGTGCATGTCTGCTCTAATACACTTGGAACAAAATGAAGCAGGCTGTGTCATCTCACAGAGCCTAAACAAACTTGTTCTTGAAGAGATTTATATTCTGGCCTACACTGCAGTCTCTGGTAGCTGACAGCCACAGAATTCAAACCGAGTAGTGTCTGTCAGCCCTGTTAACCCTGCACACCCCATCTTCGTCTCCTACATTTGTTCTTCCAGGGAACGTATGCGTCTCTCTGTTTTCCCTCTCAGAACCAGAACATCAACACTGCTGTTTCTTATGCTTAAACATCCCACGCAAAGCCACATTGAATTTTTGCCAAATGAAAAATGCATCCAACAATCAAGTTTCTAAGAAGGTGCCAAGTGAGGAATGATAATGTTTAATAATTGAGAAAGGAATTTATTAGAAGGAAGCTGAGGCATTGCCCATTTTTTCCCCAGAAGGAGAAGAAGTCTGTAGTGAGCACAGGACGGACCGCATTTTCCTTAGAGCAGCACCCTCCAAGAAAAGCACCGCTTATGTTTTTAACCTAAGACTTTAGAGAAATCGGATGAGAGATTTTTGTACTTTTTTTTTTTTAAATCTTTTATGAGTTTTGGGGTAGGAGTAGGGGTGAGAGGAAGTAAATACCTATGTAATACATAGAAATTTCCAAATAAAATGCTATTGGTGGTTAATCGTGGGTATGGTCTGACTGTAAATGCTGTTTGAGGATCTAACAGCCATTTTCATCTCAGGTAGATTTGCAGAGCTACAATCTTCCAAGACTACACATCATTTTAGGCTTGTGGGTCTTCATTGGGCTTTTTTCAGGAGCAGTTCTGACAAAAGGCAGAACCAAAAAAAGAATTAAATGATATCAGTTAGCATTTCTGAGGAAGAGGTGAGCTGTAGGTGAACCAGGTGGGCAGGCCCAGAGACCAGGGAAACCCTCCAGTTTACAGGGGGCCACAGGCAGATGTACTTCTCCTGGGAGAAGGGATGGTAACTTTAATATTCCTTATCACAATAAATTTTAAAGATAGTGATTTACTTTTTGTAATGGCCAAGCTATATCCCACGGCTTCTTGACCTTCAAGGTCTTCTCTGTCTTCCCTCACCAAAAACAAAAAAAAAGCTTAGCAACAAAGTATGTAAATGACTTCCTAAGGTCTCAGAGATGGTTTTAGTTTACAAAGTAATGTATGCTGGGATAATAGAAATAACATTTCTTTGGACTGGACTGGGTGGACATAATTGGAGCTGACTCAGAGCAAGGAATGAGACACCTCTCCATTAACCTCCCAGAATTCTAATCCTGAGAATTGCCACTTCCATTCAGGGCTCAGGCTTGGTGGAAGCATCCATGTTCCTTTGAAGTAAAGAAGGTTCTGTGTACTGGAACAGTCCCTGTTTCTGGAAAGGTACACCCAGGTAATGCCAAGGCAGCCACACAGGGACATGGACCAATTTTGGTAATGGATGTGACCTCAAAGAGAGACTGGAATTGGACAATCCGTAGCCACTCTGCCAGTTAGCCAGAGATGTAAACATTCCTATCTCTGTGTGAGGGGAGCTTATTTAAAAGGGATCCTACTTAATTACTCCCTGAGAGTAAGAATCATGAGCACAAATCAGTGGGTGTGCAAGTGCACAGATCAGTCACTTTAGCCATGTCTCAGAGGCCAAGGTGAGGGTGGCTGATGAGGAGAAGGCGAGGATCCATTTATAACTTGGAGATGAATGAAGGTAGGTGTGGGGCAGCTGGGCTCATCTAGGACAGGAGAAAGACAACTTCGCTGGGAGGAGATTGTAGACTTTCGAGGAGAGGCTTTAAACTGGAAATAAGCAGTGAAAGAGGCCTTCCTGAAAGTGCCCCTGGGATGGGTAGGAGAAGTTTGGCAGTAGGGTATATATGATGACCCCTGGGCCCTGGCCCAGGTTTTCTCACCCTTTACACAGGAATCACAGAAGGAACCTGTCAGGAAGCAGCGTCTCGTCTCGTTCAGCATTTAGCCAGATTCTATACTGACCAGCTCCTAGGAGATGGTGACAGCTGGCCCAGACCCCGCACCTAGAGCAGCAAACTCTGAGAGGCCACGCTCCCCGAGCACTTCCAACATGAACCTGGGGAGGGTTTTTTTCTCAGCGTGGAGCAGTCAAGACCATTAGTAAAAAATATCAGATAATAAAAATATCAGTCTTCTGCCTCCTAGACCAAGGCCCTCTGCCTCATCCAGGTAACCCTGGAAGAGTGAAGAGATTCAAAGCACAGGTTGAGTGACAGCTTTTGCTTTGGCTGTTAAGATTGAGCCTTAAAGAACAGCGCCCAGAACACACTATGGAAATCTGACTGGTGTATGGCATGAGACTCCCTGTGTGGGTGCCACAGTGGGTAAGATGGCACACTTAGTAGACAAAAAATGCAGGACAGGGGCTGGGGTTGTGCCTCAGTGGTAGAGCACCCATCTAGCATGTGTGAGGCCCTGGATTTGATCCTCAGCACCACATAAATAAATAAAGGTATTGTGCCAACTACTAGAAGAAAAAAAAAAATTCAGGGCAATTGGCATCAGCCATTATGATGATGGAAAAGGGCTCTGGAATCAGAATGCCCAGGTTCAGATCCAGCCCCAGCATGTATCAGCAGGTGAATTTGAAAAGTGTCTCAATTTCTCTGTGCTTTAGTTTCCTCAACTATAAAATGGAGATAATGATCTTAACCTCATAGGACTTTTGAATTCAATGAGCAAGAACGGATAGTTAGAATAGGATCTGACCAAAAAAAAAAAAAAAATACCAGCTGTTGTTACCAGTGGCCCTTGAAGCCATCACATACCCCCTCCCTGCTGCAGATGGAGCCCAAGGTCATGCATGCTAGGCAAGCACTCTACCACTGAGTCACACCCCCAGCCTCTCTCCTACCTCCTTATCCCAACCTGTTAGCAGCCTGACCTTGGCACAATCTCTCCACTCTGCTGATCTCTGAAAGCAAAGACTTGCCTTTTCCATCTCTCAGTCTTCTCAGGACCTTGTGCAGTGCTTTGAGGTTACTGCTGAATGAATCAAATAAAATGTTCTCCATCAGAAAAAGAGATCCATTGGCAGAAATCACTGTACCCTGAGTCACAGACCCAGGCCTCTGCTGGCATGGGCAGCCCAGCCTTTCCTCTCAGCCCTCTGGAAGTCCTCTGCTTGATTTATTTTTGGATTGTATCTCTAGAATAAGTCAAAATAGCTTTTCCTGCACAAAGCGAATGATTCCTACCCCCAGATCTTCAATCTGAGGCACCACTGTGGCCCCTTTTGGCACCACATTCTTAGAGCATGTGGAGGAGGAAGCATTGAAAAGCACATTTGTTAAAAGTTGGAATTTGTTGCCATCAAACACTTTTGGGAGCCTGGTTGCCTGTAGAATGGGTTCTCACTGAGAACCCATTCTACAGGCAACCAGGCTCCCACTCCAGGAAAATGCTGGGGCAGCGGATGTCCTAGTAATACTCTAGACAGAAGCAAAAGTGCAGGGGAAGAAAACATGATAGGGTCTCCAGGTTGACTTGATCCGATTGAGAAATTGGATCCCATTTGTACTTCCAAACTGATCATTCAAAACCACAGCCAGCCAGTTGTAGCAAGGTCTGTGGCAAATATGAGGCCTTTGTACACCCTCGGGAAATCACAATACCTCTGAAATTTGGTGTCCTCATTCATCAAGCCAAGATTTGAATTAGGCCTCTTTGGCCCCAGGTCTGAATCCAGGTCAATCGAAAGTTTCCTTCAGCTGCTGTCTCCATTTAGCATGCTATTTGGGAAATGGGCCACTAGAGGCCACTATGAATACATTTAGCCTCACAGCTTCTTCAAAAGTCAGAAGCCTGCCAAGGTTTTTCATGATTTTCCTAAGCCAGGCCTGCCGCCCCTTGGGTGTGGAAATCCAGCAACTGCTCAGATTGTGAGAAACTAGAATGGAGATGTGAGCCTGGCACTGGAACCTATGGAAACACTGTTTGCACAGATCCACCAGCCCTCTGTCCTGTCTATTGGACTAGGTAGAGGAGAAGCCCTCCTTCCAAGTGTGGTAAGGTTGAAGATCCCTGAGACCAGGTCCTGGTCCTGTAGCCAGCCTTATAAAGAGCAGGAACCCTAAAGGAAAAGAGTGTCTCATGGTTTGCAGATAACTCGTATTTTTCTCTTATTCCCCCAAACCAACTATTAACATTATTACGCTTATTTCTGGATGAGCAAACTGAGGACCAAGACCACAAAGAATGAATGAATGGATGGAGCAGTGGGCCCAGGGTCTGCATGGCTAATAAAAGGCAGGACTAGAACTTGAACTTAGGGACTTCTGATTACAAGTTTAGCTCTTTGTTATCTCCACCTTTGGCATAAGAGAAAGATGAGGAAATGAAAAAGAATCTTGTAGCAGGGCAAGGTCACCATCTGAGTTGTCCAACCTGACTGCTCCCCTGGAGTATTCTCAGGCCTGGCTGGCCAGGAGGCCGCAGCCTCAGCTGTCTGGAAGAGGGTTCCCAGCAGAGCTCAACCAGGGGAGGAAGGGGCCCACAGGACCCTAATCAGTGTGTTTATTGGGTCATAACTATTAACCTCAGCACTCAGCTCTTCTCACAAAAATCACTTTTCTCTCTGTGAGAATCTGGCCACGACTCCATTAAGAGCTGCCGCCCCACAGACCTCGAACAGCAGGAGTGGCAGGGGAGGAGAGAGGCCTAATATTTCTACTTCCTTATTATCCTGACAAGGAAAATGACCATATCATATTCACTGTATAAAAAAATCCCCCGAGGGAAAGGATATCCAAAGTTTGCAATTGTCTTTTTGGCAATATTTAGTTCTGAGAGAAAATGTTCCCTCTGTGCCTCCCTTCCTTGATTGTTTTTCTTTCTGTGATACTGGAGATTGAACCCAGGGATACTTTACCACTGAGGTAAATCCCAGGCTCTTTTTTATTTTATTTTATACCTGGGATGAATCCACAGGTGCTTAACCACTGAGTCACACCCCTAGCCCTTTGAAAAATATTTTTATTTAGAGACAGGGTCTCCCTGAGTTGCTTAGGGCCTCACTAAGTTGCTGAGGGTGGCTTTGAACTTAGAATCCTTCTACCTCAGGGTCCCAAGCTGCTGGGATTATAGGCGCCTGCCACAGTGCCTGGCCCTTTTTATTTTTTAATTTTTTTAGTAGTAAATGGACAGAATACCTTTATTTTATTTGTTTTTGTGTGGTGCTGGGGATCGAACCCAGTGCCTCACATATGCTAGGCAAGCGCTCAACTACTGGCCCTTTGCTATTTTTATTTTCTCACTAAATTGTAGAGGCTGGCAATCCTCCTGCCTCATTCTCTTGAGAGTTGCTGGGATTACAGGCCTGCACCATCTGAAGGCTACATATTCCTCTTTAACAGCATGTGTGATGCTGTATATGAGCCAGCAAGAGCAGGGAAAGGACTTGGGTCTGAGGACTTAGGAGGGCCAGCATTATTCCATTTAACATCGCCCCCCCAGAGGGCCATGAAGAAGGCAGCGCAATGCCCATTTCACAGAGGAAGGCTCCTCGTCCCTTGGCTGGGCCTTGGCAGGCTGAGCTACAGTCATGGGGTCTGCTTTGTCCCCCTGCTACTCTAAACTCCCACTGGGATAGTTTCCTTACTGTTCCTTGCCCCCTCCTCCTTGTAGCTCAAAGCTTACAGAAACCGATTTTCAAGTCTGATCTGGTCACTGCCTGACTCTCCCCAGCCTTTGTTATTCCATCTATAGAATGAGAGGTCCAGACTCATTCTAACCCCCTCTGGTCGAAACTTCTATGAGTTATGATGGTATTTGTCTTCTAAGGAGCTGCAGGCACATCCTATCTACCTAGAATCTCATCCCAACTCTTGGTAGGTTGGTACAATGAGTTTATTATCCCCACTGTGTGTGTGTATGGCACCGGGGACTGAACCCAGGATCTTGGCACATGCTAAGCCAGTACTCTACCACTGAGCTACAATGCCTGGCCCTAATAGCCCACTTTTTAAGCTGGGGAACCTCAGATGCAGTGAGACAGCCTGGCGAGAGCCCTGCATTCCGCCCCCAGGCAGGCCAGCACCTCAGAGGGGCTGTCAGCAGCAACTCCTGGAGCCTGACACCTGAGCCTCTTCCAGCTCTGATAGAATTATCAGAGAACTGGGGAACAAATACTTCCCGTAATCGGGGCAACTGTTCTTAGCCAGAGGTGGAGGAGGCAGGCCGTGAAGTGTGTCTGATGAGCTCCTCTCTGGTGCAAGGCCAGAGCTAATAAACCCAGGGAAATCACACAGGCGGCTGGAGATGCGAGCAGGCACGCTCCAGGGCAGGGCCATGGGGACCTCAGCTTCCACACAAAGCCAGCCTCGTGGCATTTCATGCACGTTTCAGTTACCTTCGGCAGTCAGGCAAGCAAATACAGGCAGCTTGGCATGAAAATGAATTTAGAGCTTAAAAAAATGAGCCTTTCATCCTTGGTGGCCACAGGAGATGCTGAGGAGCAGTGGTGACAGAGAGGGCTGGGGTGAAATGACAGTTGCCCCATACATACACACCCATCACCTGAGGGAGGGAGTGCAGAGTCCTGCGGCCCAGTCAGAACCTCAGGCAGGCACCTGGCTCAGGGGAGAGATGGATGAGTTTCAGGAACGCAATTGGTTGAGAGGCCCACACCTCACCTGGGCCTGAGCATGCCAATCAGGAGGGATTGCAAGGCTGGCAGTTAGGGAGGGGCCTTGTTGGCTTTTAAGCTTCTGAAGAAATCTGAGGACTCATTTCCCATTTCCTTAGATGCTCAAACAAGGGGAAATGGACTTACATGGACTGGAGAGTGCCGGAGGCCCAAGAGCCCATTGGCTGAGAGGGAGGTGATATATTCACATCAAATTAAGGGTTGGGGATGTAACTCCATGGTCAAGCACTTGCCCAGCATGCACAAGACCCTGGGGTCAATCCCCAGCACCACAGGAGGAAAGGAAGGAAGGAAACTAAATCCAGCAACAAAATAGGGAGGCTGAGGCTAGGAAAGATGGGGTCTGAAGGACCAGGTAAGAAGGCCCAGACCCTGCCTGCAGAGGGGGAAAGAAGAGAAGCCTTTTGGATGTCCAGATGAGAAACTCATTCAGATTGGAGGATCCAGGCCAGCTTCTTGGAAGAGATGGCACCTAAAAGATGGGTAGAATTTGGACCAGGCAGAGAGGATAGGCCCAGGGCAACCAAGCTGGTTGATCTAAAGCCTGATGATGGCAGGGGTGGGAAAATGCAGGGTCACTTTGCCTTTGATTGCCAGAGGCCCGGCAAAGGCACATTCATGTCAATCAATGAAAAGTCAAGGTGACCATCTCTCCTTGAAGGACTTGAAGTGAAAGAAGAAGGCTCCTTTATACTCTAATTCCAACCCCAGCACTTACAAACTTTTGTTGCCAACCCTGTGTATCGTCCAAACAACCCTGGTGAATTGCTATCCCTCTCTTGGCCTCCATTTCCAGATTGAGGGGAGCTGGACTTCTTTTAAAGTCCTTTGCATCACTGATATCTGTAATTCGTGACTAATAATAAATACCAAGCTAAAAACTGGATTAAATTGTAAGGCTTGGGGAGATGGCAGGCTGTGATGTCTGTGCTCAGATGAAAAGTGGAAGATCAAAGCCCAGAGCACAGACCCCCTGGCACTGAATATGCCCCTCAGACTTGTGAGGCAGAGACTGGAGGCTCCTGGTGAGGGCCTGCCTGGGGCTTGGAGCAGAGGCATGCATCCCTGAGAGCTGCGGAGGAGCCTGGGTGGCATCTGAAGACGGGCTTGGGGCCCACATGGTCTGAGGTTTGCATCCTGTCTCCACTTAACAGTGTGAGTTTGGGCAAGTTAGTTGTCCACAGGGCAAGTTAAGTTACTGAACCATTTTGGACCTTAGTTCCCTCATATGAAAAAATGCAGCAAATACCACCCATTCTTCTATGGCTTTCCCAGAACCTTAACTCAAAATGGGGTCCCTAATTCCTAACTGGACTGAGCTCCTAAAAAGGCTGCGCCTTCCTCACCCCTCTACCCTAGTAATGAGCTGGCACAGCGGGAGGCACAGATCGGGGCAGAGCTTATCGCATGGCAGGCCCCCCATAAATAAGATAAATACATCAGAATCCCTGGCCCCCCTGAGGTATTGGCCAGGAGGCCCAGGGAAACTGATAGTTGCCAAACAAGGATTCAATAGCTTAATTCATAATCAATGCCAAATAAATGTCTGCTGGGTGGAGGGTCAATAAGATGTGTGTGGTGACGGAGACCCAGGCCCTGTCCCCACTGGCGGGCAGAGGCTGAGGGGCCGCATGAAGGCCTATGTTTCCAGGGGCAACAGTGGACTCCTCATTGAGCCATTCGACAAGTCAGGCCCCTGCTATGTGTTATCTGTGTGCTGTCCCAGGGGCTGCGGGCACAGCAGTGACAGATGAAGCCCGTCTGCCTCCAGGAGAAGACTCCTGTGAGAAAAGCTCAGGAGGCCCAGGGGATGGGGTGGCCAGGTACGAGACGTTAGGCGGGGTGCCAGGGAAGCCTCCGTGAGGAGGGGGCATTTGGGGAGAGGCCCAAAGGTCCCAGGGGAGACTTCTAGCCTAGGGGAACAGCAGGTACAAAGGCCCTGAGACAGGAGCCTGCAGACATGGTGAAGAGGCCATGTGGCTGGAATGGAGTCGCTGAGGGGAAAAGAGGAGGTGGGAGCGGGAGGGGAAGGGCCTGTGGCCCAGTCCTTTTACCACAGAGGGAGATGAGAGCCAGGGGAGGGTCTCAGGCTGAGAAGAGACACATCGTGACTTTAGCTTAAGTGCCCCCTTCTTGTTGTGAAGGTTCCCCTCTCTAGACTGCAGCGGCAGGTAGGCCTCGCTCTGCTGGAAAAGCACCCAAACCTGGAAGGAAGAGAAGCACGGGAGGGGGAAGAGCAGGGCCCGGGGACCCTGGGGCAGAGGAGGGTTGTGTGGGTCCTAGGGAGAAGGGCCACTAGGCCCGCAGCAGGAGAGCCTGGCTTCCCTTTGCCCAGACGAACACGGACTGAGCTAGCTGGACTGACCTGGGGAGGGCCGTGGGGATGGGGGGATGGTGGGCATCAGGGAGGCTGCCGCCCCTCCAGGAGGAGTGAGGGTGGGGGGTGTGGAGAACCCCAAGGCTCCTTCTTGCCTCTACCCAACAGAGAACGTGGCTTCTTCTGAAGCAGGCCTTCACTGTCTTGTGTACTTGACCTTGCTGTTATTAGTGGAGTTTCTAATCGAACAATCAGTGACCTTGAATCCATCTCTCCCCTTCACTCACCTTTTTAGCAAAAGAAGGGGTTTAACCTGGATGGTCTCCCACCAAGCCCCTTCTAGGATTTCTATTAATGGATGGAATCAGACACTGCATCTCCCCTCCCCCTTTAGTGCCCTGGTGGTTTCAATTTCTGTCATGTCCTCTGCTTTACTTCTTTCCCTGCGGCTGCCATGTACAGTGGTGCGGGATGTTTACCGAATAAACGCACCCAGTGAAGGGGCCAGTGGGGCCTCAAGTCCAGTCCACACTCTGTCCACACTCTGCCCAGTAAGTCATGTGCTTATTTATCCAGAGCCTTTTTCTAGTTTGCTCTAAGGTGCGGTAGAGGTGGCCCCACTTCCCTGCCCCTTGCATGCTCCCACTTCCACTCTTGCACGTCCATCGTCTCCTCCAGCGGGGCAGATGGGAGGGCCTGGGTGGAGGGGGCAGCAGCTGCCTCTTCTGAGAGGAGCTCTGCCCCCAAAGCCCGCCGTGCTTTTCCTCTCCTTATCGATGCTGTGAGTTGCCTCTCAAAATTGCTCTGCCGTCATTAACACCAAAGATTAGGTCAGATGAGAGCGTGTCTGCAGTCTTGGACGGCAAAGGCAAACCGCTGATGCTGATTATTCCAGATCTTCTGGGCATGGCCCATTCCGTGCTTGCAGTTCTTAATCAGAGGAACGAGCCTCAGTTACGTGGGGGGTGGACCAGGGGCCAAGTCTGGCTGCCAGGCCCAGACAGCATGTCTGCAGCACCTGCTGGCCTGCCTGCCCGCTAGCTCGGACGTCACAGGTGACCACAGTTACTTGGCACTATCATCTCTCAGAGGAGAGATAGCCCATCCAATGGCAACGCCCATTACAATCCATTTGAGCAAGTTCTGGGAGCATCGGTCCCTGGGCCTGGTCAGCAAGTTTTATTTCTGGGGCTCACATTGGGTATGAACCGGGGGGGGGGTGCCTTTTAGATCCTTCTCCTTCAGGGTCCCTTCTGAAAAGGCTGAATCAGGCTGTGACCCTGTGGCATGGCCACTTGCCTCCTATTCTTCCTCCACCAACCCTCAACCTTCTTCTCCAGCTATATCGAGATCCCCAAGCATAGCTCTCTGGCCCTTAATCATGCTGGTGTCCCGCAGGAATGCCTGCTCAGCCGCATCCTGTGGGCAGAAGTTCATGGTCAGGGCCTGGCCCATCCCTTCAGCTTTCACCTTTACCACTGCTTTGGGCTCCAGCCCCAGCACCTGCCAGCACCTTTGTTTCTTTGCCTGAGGTTTTCTCTGGCTTCTGGAGCCTGAGTTGCCATTCAGTGCTGGTCAGGCCAGAAGGGCCGGGAAATTGATGCCCTCCAGAAGCAACCCTCAGCCTCTGAGCCAATGGCTGCTCCCCCACCCATCGGTGGGTAGTTTGAGGCATGTCCCACGGTCTCCTCAGTGGGAATGAGGGCAGCTTCTTCTGGCTGCTGCCCTCCCCATCTCCCCACCACACTCCCCACGTAGCGTCTCCTTAGCCTCTCCAGTAAACTCCTCCCTGTCATCCTTGGTCTCAGGGGCTAGTTCTGGGGCAAATTAAGACAGCATCCTCAGTGGCCATCTCAATACCTCCTGTCTTTGCAGTTTCTCTATGCCTGCCCTTGTTCTGGCGCCTGGAGGGCTGTCAGTCACTCTCCTCTGTTCCCAGGACCCTTTATGCCAACCTCAGCAGCACTCCTCAGGCCACACTGTGGTTTACCTGTCTGCATGTCCTAGGCCCCCACAAACCTGGGACCTCTTAAGGCCAGATACTTTGTTCTTTCTGCTTTTTTATTCTCTGGATCTAGAACCTAGCACAAAGCAGATGCCCAATATAGTTTTCTTGTTTTGCCAAAGAGCCAGCAAAAGTAAGAGGAGTGGAGTGACAGATACATTCCTACTCTTCTAGAAAGAAACCCTTGGGTTGCTACTCCAAATGCTATCACTTTACAAGGTTGCTTGGTAGAACTTTAGTCTCACCTCTCACCTGCTCAACAACTTGCAATGGCTCCCTGTTATCCCTCTACCCCCCAAGGACTTCATTACATGTGTGACTTTAAGACCTTCCATCATCCAGCCCATCCTAAAATGCCTCTTATCCAGTGTCAGGCTTTGGTCTCACTGCCTGGGTTCAGCCAGTTCCCAGCTAAGTGATCATGGCAAGTGACTTAGCCTCTCTGAACACTAGTTTCCTTATTTATAAAGTGTGCGTAATGATAGTAATTTTGAGAATTTAAAAATCACACATGGTCCTTATGAATAATCTACCAACCACTGAACTATACATTTTCAGATGGTGATTTATGGAATGTGAATAATATCTTTTTTTAAAAAAAATTAAGCATGATGTCTGGTCCAGTTCTTTAAAAATTAAATGGTGGTAATCACTGCTAACAATACTTCCCAAGTGGCCTTGCAGCAAGCCAGGTCCACCACAGGTGCTCAGTAAATACTCATGGAATAAATGGAGAGCAAATTCCACAAGTACATTCTGAGCATTTGTCTATGTTAGGTATGTGGGGGGTGGGAACACAGAGATTCAGATCTGGTGTTATTTCATCCCGAAGAAAAGAAGTGTGGTATTTTAAATAAGGAGAGGAGGTTAACACTGCCCTGGACAGGGACGGAAGTAGCCCTGGGGCTGACGTAGCCCTGGGGCTGACAACATGCAGAGAGAAGGCATAGCTACCTAATGGCTGCCTACTTGCAGGCACCTGGTGTTTCTTCTTCAACCAATCATTTGCAGGGTTGTATGATTGTGTGTGCGTGCGCTGAGGATTGAATCCAGGGACACTTTACCATTGAGTTGAGCCCCAGCCCTATTTAATTTTTTATTTTGAGACAGAGTCTCACTAAATTGCTTGGGGCCGGGCTAAATTTGAAGCTGGCCTCAAACTTGGGATCCTCCTGCCTCAGCCTCTTGAGTCACTGGGATTACAGGCAAATGCCGCCACCACCGTCAGTGCAGAATGGTGTTTTAAAATATGTTCATAACAAGTTTTGGCAAATTGCTTAAAAATATTTTTCTGTTTTTGTATAACTCTATTAACGATGTCAAATAAAAAATTAATTATTCTAAGAAAATAGAATGCACTAGAATGAAAACTTCACATTATGCTATGCTGTAAATTCTGGTCTATTATTATGTAGAATAATAATTTTTAAAAATATATAGATAACATTGTGTACCTAGCCTGATGGTGTGGCACATGGCTTTAATCCCAGGCACTCAGGAGGTTGAGGCAGGAGGATCTCAAGTTGGGGGCCAGCTTGAGCAATTTAGCCACACCCTGTCTAAAAAATAATAAACAGGTCTAGGGATGTAGCTCAGAGGTAGAGCACCCCTGGGTTCAGTCCCCACTATTAACAAAAGAAAAGAAAAACAAGCAAAAGACCAACTCCACCACTACACTGTATTCCTACTGGTGGTTCAAACTGAATTTTGTAGTTTACTCTGGATTTTGTTTTAAATTTAAAATAAATAAAAATTTCAAAAAAAAAAAAAAGATCTAAAAAGGAAGCAAAGGAACTTAAATATTCTTTGTGGAGGAAGAGTCGCAGGCCCAAATCCAAAAGTGAAGTCTCCTGACCCACCTTCTCCCTCCTGCCCTGGGAATTCCCATCGCCTTTGTCCCTCTCTGTCCCCTGTGGCAGAACAGCAGAGTTGAGTAAACAAAAAACACTTTTGTCCCAGCCCCAAGAATGCGTTCTTATCTTTTACTCTGGCTGTCTAGATGTATTCTGCACATCTTCTATTCTAGCTCTATCTGATGTGTTGACTTCAAACAGGATATGGGCGCGTCCCGCACTCTCTGGCCGCCAAACGCAGGTCCAGAGGCTCCACGCTTCGCGGTCCAGGCTCAGACTCTTGGCCTCCTGTGTATCAGGTTTGGACAACGTGGGGCGGTGGGTGCGGAAGTGGAGCTCCATGTTAGCAGAGCTTAGACAGGGTGAGGAGGGGCCGCGGGTGGATTTTGTGAGGCAAGACTACGTGCGCAGTCTCCAAGAGACGCCTCAGCGCTCCAACCCCAGACCCGGGAGGGCGGGCTGGGGACTGCTAGAGGCTCTGCTGGGCAGGGGGCTGCTGAAAGGTGCTCCAACTCTGTCGTTCCCCAGGGCAGGTCCTGGAGCCTCCCCCCACCCCCCCACCCCCGCCTTACTCGGTGCAGGCCCTTACTCGGTGCTGGTTGCATTGAAGCCCGTGGAGCTCAGGCCATCCTCTTAGTCTGGTGGCAGAAGCTTCTAGACCCGGGGGCTGGTACGGCCGTGTGGTCACGACGGGCGGGGGAGGAGAAGGGAGCTGGCGCGCGGTTTAGGTGGCTGACTCCGCGAGGCCCGGGCCCGAGGAGGGATGGGGAAGCACCTACGAACCAACCCAGGGCCAAAAGACCCTAACTGGGAAATCGAGGTGCCCTCTCCCGGCACTGGGGTCGCCACCCTTCCTGCCCAGTAGAAAGTAAGTCCGCTTCTGGGAGAGACCCTGTAACCCGACCCCCTCTATGCACACATTCCCTTCACCCCGCCACCTGTCCTGCCACCTGTCCTGCCTAGACCTTTTTCAAATAGGTGCCCCTTGGTTCACAAGCCCCTCTCCCTCCCCCAGTGCGGAGACCCTTGACCAGGATGGAGGACGGGCGCAGAGGAAGGCGCGCGCACCTGGAACCATCTCTGGCTGTTGCTACCCGTGTCCCAGGATCGGGAGCCGCGTCCCCACGCCCACCACGCACACATACACATACAGACTCACCCGCTCACACGCACTCAACACCGCGCGCAGACCCCGCCCGCGGCCCCGCCCCGGCCCCTGCGGGCGGCCCCTCCGGCGCTCGCGGCCCCGGCACGCAGCCCGCCCTGGGTGGCGGGAGGCGGCGGCTTCGGGCAGATTTGATTTTCCCGCAGTCCGGGCGCCCCGGAGCCGGAGCCCCAGCCGAGGAGGTGGCGCTCACCGCCGCGTCCCAGCCCCGCCGCCGCCCGCGCCGAGACCCAGGGAGAGGCGGCGCAGTCCGGGCGCTCGGGGCTCCGCGCTGCCCGCGCCCTGCCACCCCCGCCGCCCGCAACCCCTCCCGCGCCTCGGTCCCCCACAACCCTCTCCCGGGCTCCTGCACCCCTTCTACCCCCGCCCACAGCCGCACGCCCCACTGCCCGCGCCCCTGTCTACGACTCCGCGCGTCCCTCCCGGTGCCCTCTCCCCGGAGCCCCTCTCCGTCTCTCCCCGCTGCGCCCCAGCTCCCCAGGCTCCTGGCCCCTCTCCGCTGGGCCCCCAGCCTCGTCGCAGCGTCACCCGCGCCCCCTCTTCTCCGCGCGGCCCCCGCTCCCTCTGCCCCCTCCCTCTCTCACTTCCCACGCCCCCTCTTCGCGCTCCTCTCCGCCCCTGGCCGCCCAGCCCCGGCTCCGGAGTTGGGGGAGAGCCCAGGGCTCCAGTCGCTCCGGAGGAGGCGTGAATCGCGCAGGAATTGACTAATTTGGGGTGGGGGGTGCGGTGGGTGATGGAGCAGCCTGAGGACATGGCGTCGCTGAGCGAGTTCGACTCCTTGGCGGGCAGCATCCCGGCCACCAAGGTGGAGATCACCGTGTCCTGCAGGTGAGCCGCCCGCTGGCCGGGTCCCCCTGCCCCGCCCCTGGACCAGAGCCCCGCGGCCCCTGCCGCTCTAACCCTCTTATCTACTAGAGCCCCTTTCCCAGGGTGTCCTCGCCTCCAGGACGCACCCCCACCCCACCCCATCCCACAGTCTGTCAAGAGCCCCTGCCTAGCTGCGGGTGGCGACAGCAGAATGGGAAGCCCGGCTGGGGTCATAGCCCGGGAAAGTTTGCGCTCCAGGCTGTTGCTTCGAGGACTGCGGGAAGAGACAGGAACAGGGGTCTAGGCACCAGAGCAGGGGAGGGGAGATGCAGCAGGGTCCCCGCTTGCTGTCTCTGATCAACACCTCCATAAATGGAGAAGGGAGAGACTTGCCCCATCCCTCGCAGGCATGCCAACCTTCCCCATTCTTTGCCCTCTTCTCTCCTCTCCTGCGGTGCTGCTCAGCATCCTTATCTTCTCTCCCCACCTCCTCACGGTCCTAGAACTCAGAATTCCAAAGCCTTCCTTCACCTCCAACAACAGGAAAAAGGATCAGATTGACTCATTTATACTGAGGTGTGGATAATCCATAGCAACTTGAAGTGACATAATTAAAAAAAAAAAAAAGCAAAACAAAATAATAACCTGGGTCAGAAACCTTAAGCCAAAGGCTTGGAACACGCTGGTGAAATTTTAGATTGAGCAGGAGAGAAGGAGTATTTTTGTGGACTGCCACTTCCAAATCCTCAAGTCATGTCACACAGGATTTGTGGTAACTTCCTTAAGAGCTGGCGTCTTATATTTGTGGCGGTGGCTGCCCCAGGCAGTAAGAGGGTAGAGGTGGAGAAGGGGAGATTTTCCCCTTTTGTGATTGGCCTAGAGTCACTGCTTTGCTGGGACTGAGGGGTACTGTGGCTCAGGCATAGCCCTTCTTGAGGTTCCTCCAGGCATCCCCACCCCCAGTAACCAATGGCATGTGGAGCCCTTGTTCCAAATCACCCATCCCATCTTCTCCTAGGTCACTTTTTGGCCAGAGTGTCCCTCACCCTCCTTGTGACCCCCCTCCCCGGCCCTGTAGTACACAGTTGAGACATGGTTTGGGGCATTGTAGGTGGAGCCAGAGACACTGGTCTGGGTCTTGAAAGAGGGAAGGACTCGGGGGATTTTCTCTTGAAGGCTAGAAGGTGAGGGCGAGTGAGGGCTGGTGGGGTAGAATGACAGCACCCCCACAGCCAGACCCTCGGGGGACTGCTGTGATAGCTTCCAGATGCCCCCACTGCCTGCCACCCGGCTGTCGGAATCATCTCCCAGGGCCATTTGCCTCTTGCCATTGCTGTGCTGGGAGATTCCTAATGGTCCATGAGCTCGAGTCTCACCTCCTCAACCATAAACAGGCCCTCTGACTCCTGCCCCTGCTGCACCCCTCGGCCTTCAATCAGCCCCTGCCTCAGAGTCCTCTTGAGATCCTTCCTGTCTCCGGGCCTTAGAACAGATTTCACTCCTCCTTGGTGTTCCCAACTCTGAAGAGCCTGGCCTTGTGCTCTCACCCGTGAGACACCCAGCTCAAATCACTGCCTTCTGTGTTACCTGGGCCCTGGTATACAGCCCTGGCCCAGGGTCACTCATACATAGTGGGCATCTCAAGTGTGCAGATTTATCCTAAGCATTGGAAGGCAGGGATTCCCAGGCTGCATCGGTCCCCTAAAACCCGCCACCCTAGCAGAGAGGAAAGGAGGCAGAAGACAGGTGATAATGTGCTCACAAAGTCACATCTTGTAATGGAACGTCTGATTCCCTGCTAGGGACAAACTTCAAGCCTCCATTTCCCCATTTGTCCTGTTTGTATGTTCATAGAGAAACCTTGTTCACAAAGGCAGCTCAAGCTTAGGACAGTGCCTGGCACATAGTAAGCCCAAGTACTGTTGGTGGGATTAACTGGCAGGAATGGAGGATCAAGATGCATCCAGCATGGCGCACCGCAGTGTCAGTGAGTAGCTACAAAGATTACTCAAGGTGATGACATTTGGTCCCCCCTGCTTGCTCTCTGCAAGTGGAGGTGTCCAGAGGATGCCAGTCTCTTGCATAAGAAGTACCTGGAGATGCATCTGAGTCCCTGCAGGTTGTGGTTCTAGGGTTCATCCAGTGTCCATTCCCTCTCAGGGGACATGATCTGTCAGCCTGAGGAGGGCCTGACCTGGGCCCTACCCCTGCTCTCCAAAAAGAGAGTGGGGACGTGGATTTTGACGAGGAGAGATGAGGAGAGAGGAGTCATTTGGAACAGAGGATAGGCAAAAAAAAAAAAATCAATCTTGGTGGACTTTGAAATTGTAGATCATCTCTTTGCTTTACCAGGGACCAACTCTCCAGGTTCCAGAATGGAGAGAGAGAGACAGACAGACATAGGAAGAGGAAAAGGAGGGTGGGGGGAGGGAGAGATGCATGGGTGGACTTCTCTAGCATATTCTTTACTCTGTGGCCTACCAGTTAAAGGGTCAGGTCCCACTTCTCTGCACCCTGTGTTCAGCATCAATGGGGCCCAGGAGAGGAGGCTACGGGATACCCCTGTGTGAGCATCTAGGTGACACATGCTGGTAGGCAGGGAGCAGTAGGGGAGGCAGAGGGGCTGGTGGGTGAGAACTCCAGGGGTTCAGAATGGGCTTCTGAAGAGACGGTGTTTCAGGGATGGTATGAGTTGCCATCTCTGGTGCCCAGGGATCTCCTGTGTTCCGTTCTCTCTGCTCCATATACATTCCTGCCCACCCCCACCCCAGCCCCAGGAGCTTTCTGCTCAGTGCCAGGAGGAGGCACCGGCAGTGCCTGTCCCAGGGCGCCCCAGCTAAGCAATGCTACCTGGTATGGAGACTCATTCTGAGCCCTAGCACGGAGCCACCACCGTGAGGCAGGCCAAGTCTTTGCAGAAGGCAGATGACACTGCGGGATAGACTGGTTTGGGCCTTTGCTTCAGGCAGAGTACCTCCTGGATTCAGCTTCTCGTTCACCCCCAAATAGTGATTTTTTTTCAACTTGGGTTTACTCTGGGTTGAAGATTAGAAAACCTTTGGTTGTTTGACACAGTGATTAAAAATATGGGTCCAGGCTGGGAGTGGTGGTTCACACCTATAATCCTAGCGGCTCTGGAGACTAAGGTAGGAGGATCACAAGTTTGAGGCCAGCCTCAGTAATTTAGCAAGATCCTGAGCAACTTAGTGAAACCCTGTCTCAAGATAAAAAATAAAAAGGGCTGGGGATGGCTCAGTGGCTAAGTACTTCTGGGTTCAATCTCTAGTACAAAAAAAAAAAAAGAATGTGGATGCATCTGGGTTCCTCCTGGCTTTGTTCCTGTGGTCCCGGGTGAACTATTTAGCCTGTCTGTGCCTCCTTTGTAAAGGAAGCATAAATATCAGTTGTGGGGACTCAAGGGTTTATCCATGAATAGGGATTTATGTTCATCTATTTGACACCTCAATAGGTGGATACCAAGACTTGCGTGGATTCTGGACATTGCTCTAGAGATGTTTAGAGGTGGTTTTGGGAGTGGGTTCGGCAGAGGGTTATGGAACTAGATATCAGCAGACGCTGTGGGAAATGTGACTCTAAAGATCCTTCTTGAGCCCAAAGCTTTTACTTCTCCTGATAGATCCGAGGCCTTTTCTGATTTTGTCCGCCACTCTCAGACCCAATTGAAACTTACTGTCCTTTGTCCATTCCCCAAAGGCTGCATTATTTTTGAAGTCTCTGTGCATCCTGAAGCAGCATATTGATATGTTAGTTAAAAAGAACGATTTGCCCAGGGTGTGGTGGCGCACACCTGTAATCCTAGTGGCTTGGGAGGCTGAGGCAGGAGGGTCATGAGTTCAAAGCCAGCCTCAGCAGCAGCAAGACACTAAGCAACTCAGGGAGACCCTGTCTCTAAACAAAAAAATACAAAATAGGGCTGGGGATGTAGCTCAGTGGTCAAGTGCCCCAAAATTCAAACTCTGGTACACCCCCCAAAAAAAGAATGATTTGCTCCCTCCCCCATATTGATCATTAAACCCAGGGTATTCTACCACTGAGCCTCAGCCCTGGCCTCCAACCCCTCTTTTTTATTGTTGTTGTGCTGGGGATCGAACCCAGGGCCTTGTGCATGCGAGGCAAGCACTCTACCAGCTGAGCTGTATCCCCCCCCCCAGTCCCTTTTTTTTAGTCAGGGTCTTACTAAGTTGCCTGGGCTGGCCTTGAACTTGCCATCCTCCTGCCTTAGTTTCTGGGTAGCTGGAATTACAGGCATGTGCCACCCTGCCTGGCCAATTTGCATTTTTTTAATGTAACAGGAAACTTTTGCACCTGGACTGGATCCTTCCAGAGAAGCAATGCCCAGTGCCACATGGTGGGCTCCTGAGCCCCAGGGAAAGGAAGAGGGGGCAGGCCAGAGGCAGCCTGGTCACACAGCTCAGCTGGTGTCTCTCACACAGCTGCTCTGTCTCCACCGCTGGTATGAGCTGATAGGCAGCTGCTGTCTCTGCCCCAGAGATACATTTGCTGTCTGGCAGGTTGGAGTTTGGCTGCCTTGGGGCCCAAGAGGCGGCCAAGCTTGGGGGCTGCATTAGCGGGAATCTACTCTGTTTTCTTCTGGCAGGCAAGGGGAGGGGGCATTGGATCGGGGGCCTGGGGACATTGCAGCAGCTGTCAAAGCCAGCTGGAAGAAAAAGGTCCATTGAATCACTGAATACGCCAAGGCTCTGGTGTGGTGGAGCCCGGGGAAAAGTGACAGCAGCTTATGGAGTGCTCACTACCAGCAAGGCACCGCACGGCCTTATGGGGCTGAACCGTGTGCCATTGCCTGTGCCCAGCTTGTTCCGACCGTCTCGAGTGGCCATTTCATATGGTGCAAACTAAGATCATTGTATTAGTTTTCATTTGCTGC